AGGCTTCCTGGGTGGACACCCAGTGCTCCGGCGGAAGACGGGTGTCCTCCAGCACTGCTGGGGGAGGGGACAGGCCACTCCAGGAGAGCCCCTGGGTGCCGAAGGCCCCAGCCTGAGCAGCACCATTGCCACGAGGCCCCGATCCCTCCCACGGAGTCTGCCCTGGAGACGTGGCCAGGGCTCGGGCCAGAGGCTCCTCACGGCTGATGTGGGTGAGAAGCTCCCCGCGGTCCTCTGGGTATGTGACGACCGAGGACAGTGCGGAAAATCATGGTGTCTAAATGAGATGCCATTACGGCGCTGTCACCATCGTGCTCCCGAGGAATTCTCAGTGATGTGGGGGACGCTGGGGACATGTGGGGAGCAAAGGGGACTGAACAGATGGCGTCCCAGCACGTCATAGTTCAGAGCAGAGAGGAAGATGAGCCGCTGGTGACATCGGCGCTGGTGACGTCAGCCCTGGTGGGTACGGCTATCTCCTGGGCGTGGTCTTGGGCCTGGGTCACCTCCCTTGGCTCATTTCACTTCCCAAGGACCCTGCTGACCCAACCTCCATCCATCCCATGTCACAGGTGAGGAAAACGAGGCACAGGGGTAAGTGACCTCTAGGAACTCATACAACTGCCAGGACGTGAGCCCAGGTCTGGAAGTCCCCAAAGCCCTCTTGGTCCTCTCTGTCCCCACTGGGTCTGTGGGCCGGGGATGGGGGAGACGGGCGGTGTGTCCCAGGAGCTCCGTGGGATGGGGTTGTGGAAGGTGGCTTCCTCTCTGGTTGGTGTCATAGCCATCGTCTCATTTTACACAAAGTGGCTTGGGGACCTGCTCAAGGGAAGTGGTGACAGGGTGGACCAGGTCCTGATGGCACCACCCCTGCACCTACACACTGAATGGCTGGATGGGGCTGGAGGGGACAGGCACAGCCCTGGGCCACACCTGGGCGCCCCTGGGGACTTTGCAGAGCTGCTCTGGGACCTGGCACAGAGCCCACCCTGGAGCCCATCTGCCCAGGTGACCCCGCCCTCCTGGGACAGTCCAGTGACCCCATTTGGTTGAGTCTATGCCCCACACTAGGCCCATCTATGGTGGCTGGCTGGGGACACGCCACTAGTGGTGGCCTCAGGACTGACTCTGTGCTCATTAGAGCCACCTGCATGCACGTCCGCTCACACGCCTGACGAGCCTCGCACAGGCCACCAGTGTCACCTCCTGCCCTGAGCCTGTGACTGTCTCCCTGGCTGCTGTGGGGGAGGGTCAGGGGTCTCCGAAGGGCAGCGCAGGCGGGGCTCACACTGCTTGCCCCTGCCCCTGCCTGCCACCCCTGGTGGCCGGCCCTCCCTCCTGGACCTGGAAGCTCTCACCTAGGCATGGGCGTGCTGCCCCTGTCCCCTGGATCCTGTCCCCTGTCCCCTGAAGCCTGGCCCAGCCCTTTTCCCAGCAGGATCTCCCCCGCGGAGGCCCTCCTCAGAGCTGCTCACAGGCCTGCACTCCAGGCCATCAGGGGACTCGGGGCCACCTCAGGGGACTCCGGGCCACATCAGGGGACTCTGGGCCGTTGCTGACGAGGCCCATGGCCCCTCTCCACAGTTCTGGGGGGTCTCAGGAAACAGGGAAACTGAGTCTCAGAGATGACTGGGTCTCCCCCACCTCTCCTGACCCCCACCCAGCAGACAGGAGGGCCGTGGGGGCTGGGCCTGGGGGTCTGAGGGCAGATACCCCACCAGGCCTCGGGGAGACCCAGCAGCAGGCAGCTGCCCAGTCCACCTCTGTGCCATCCCTCTGCCCTGGAGGAGTGCACGCCCCGCCACCCCGCGGCCGCTATCCCACCCAGGGACAGCGTGGACTCCGCCAAACCCCCCGCCCAGCCACCGGAGCCTACCCGTCATTCATTCATATTACGTGCCCACCGCGGGTGCCAGGCCCTGGCCGCCCAGCAGCAGATGGGTCAGTGCGACTCTGTGGAGCTGAAGTTTCAGCAAAGAGAGAGAAAGGTTCCAGCCAGTTAGAGGGAGCAGGGGGCAGTGAAGGGACAGGGCATGGGCGGCGGGTGCTGGGAAGGTGACCTGGGTCTCTCTGGCCACTGCTTTCCCCGACACACCAACCCCACCAGGACCTGTCTCCCCGGCCAGCAGGTGGGGGCTGCTGGGATTGCCTGCCCTGGGGCAGGGGATGCCCAGAAGCCGGGCCCTGCCTCCCCCTCCCCTGACCACAAGCTGAGCATTTTAAAGTTAATTGGTTTTGCAATTAAAGGGCGAGAGAACAGCTGGTGCGATTAATTGTACAGGAGCGTGTTCTGGAATGCAGAGTTCCGCAGCCCCTCCCTAAGGGAAGCCGAGGTCATTTCCAGGTGGCGCCTGCCCCACCGTCAGGGAGGCCTCTGCTCAGGTAGGTGGGGGCACTTTGCCCCCCATGCACCCGGGGAGCGTTCAACAGTGACTCTTCCTGTCCTTCTCTTAGGTGACCCACAGCAGCCCCCCGGGCAGAGCAGCTCCCACCTCTCCGGGCCTCAGCGGTGTCGGTGCAGGTGGCTCTCAGGGGACCTTCCTGCAGTGCGGGTGTGTGGAGGGTGGAATGGGGACAGAGGGGTTTTGACACTTGTTTTCGTCACGGCACAAACCTCATCCTGCTGTCATTCACTTCTGTTCATTTGATGCCACTCGTTCCCACCCGTCCCCATCCATCCGCACCCGTCCCCATCTTCACCTGAGCAGCCCCATGGAGGTGGGGACCTCACCTGTCCAACCCCAGCTGTCTTTGCAGGTGTCGGCACAAGGCCAGGCGCAGAGTAGGCTGTGCTCATCGGTTTTGCCTCACGGCGACCAAAACACCTGACGAGAGCGACCGAGAGGAGGAGAGTTTATTTGGACTCTTGATTTCAGAGGCTCAGTCCTCGGTGGGCTCACCCACTGCCCTGGGCCCGAGGGGAGCAGAAGACCCTGGCAGGAGGGTGTGGCAGGGAGAGCTGCTCTGCTGTTGGCAGCCAGGAGGTCAGGGGAAGGGGGAGAGGCCCAAGGAAAGAGGAGCCCGTCCAGGGCACACCCCCAGAGGCTCACCCCCTGTAGCCACTCCCTGTCCGCAGTGACCACCCAGTGAGTCCTTCACATGAGGGTGGGCTGATTAGGCAGCAGCTCTCAGTCTCGTCATCGTATCTCTGACTATTCCTGCACTCACAGGAGCTTTAGGGGACACCTCATATTCAAGTCATAATACTACGCCACTGGCCCCCCAAACTCACGCCCACCTCGCAATTCAAAATACATTCACTCTATTTCCAAGAGTTTCCACGATCTTACAAGTTCGAGCATTGCCCCAAAGTCCGATCCCAAGTCTCATCTGAGACTTAGGGCTAAGTCTTGGCCATAATCCCCTCTAAAGTTCAAAAGCAGGTTGCAAATATATCATCTACAGTGTCACAGAGCAGACATTCCCATTCCGAAAGGGAGAAATAGGGGCAAGACCAAACCCCAGCCAGGCAGATGTTAGATCCTGTACCTCCACACCCACATCTGGGCCTGTGGTGGGAAGATGTTCTCTGCAGGCTTGGCCGTCCTGCCCTTGGACCTTGCCAGTTATGGCTCTCATGATGCCCTCTGCAGCTAGCAGTTTTGCTCAGCAGGCAGTCGGTGTTACTGGCATCTCTTAATCTGGGGGTCTCCACTGCAGCTGCAGCTTCACCTTTAAGGCCCCACACATGGCCTCTTGGGGGATTCTGACCTGTCTACATTTTGCCTGGCCTCCCAGGCCTTCCTTTGAAATCTGGGTGGAAGCCGACATAACCCCTTAATCTCAGAATCCTTCATTCCTGCAGAACCAGTACCATGTGCATAATGTCAGGGTTTGCTGTCAGCTCAGTCATTACCTGGGTCCCCTTGTTCTGTGGTCCTAGCAGCCTCTGAGTGCCTGGGAAGCTGAACATGGAGAGACAACTTCCTAGGCCCCCTGTGTGGGCAGGGGTCTCCCAAGATCTCTCCCCAAAGGAATTTTCCCTTTTATAGCCTTGAGCCTGCAGGGGGTGTGGTCTTGCAAATTCTTGAGATGTCCTCAAACCATCTTTCCTGTAGTCTCTGTTCAAAGTACTTAGCATCTCCTTAGTGGTTGCAGTCTCTTCAACAACCATGCCTTTCTTGGCCCCAATTTAACATGCACATTTCTGGCCAAACCACAAGCTTTAAAAAATCCTCAGCTCCTCTTTCTGCTCCAGAATCCAGCATAATTCATACCACTGCCTCAGTGCTGTGCTGCCTTAATTAATCTGTTCATTACCTTTAAATAGACCTCACACAAAGCCTCAGGATATGGGCAAAATGCAGACAACTTCTTCTCGAGAATATAACAAGAGTGGCCTCTGCTTCAATTCCAACAGGATCTTCACTCCCTTCTGGAACTTCATGAGCACAGTCTTTACAGTCCGCATACTATCAGCATTCACGTCTCTGGGCACCCACCAAATCACCCATTAAGCTCTGCTTACATCCTTCTAAGACTTCTCCAACCTGTATTTCCAAACCCTTCCAAATTCCTCCCTCAAACCAGCTCCAAAACCTTCTGCACCCCCCAGTCAGATCTGTTACAATAGCACCCCATTCCTGGTACCAATTTCGATTCATCAACTTTGCATCGCTGTGACCAAAACACCCAACAAGAACAACTTAGAGGAGGAAAAGTTTATTTGGGCTCATGGCTTAAGAGGTTTAGACCAAAGTGAGGGCCCAAGGTGAAGCAGAACCTTACAGCAGAAGGGCATGGTGCAAGATGGCTACTCTGTTTGTGGTGACACCAGGGGACTGGGGGCTGCAGGGGACCAGGGCATGCCCTCAGTGATTCACCTTTCTGCCATGCCCCACCTGCCTACAACTGCCACCCAGCCAGGCCATTCCAACTGGGATGGACTGATGAAGCCACCGGTCTCATAATCCAGCCATTTTACCTCCGAATATTCCTGCATGAACGCAGCAGCTCTTGGGGTCACCTCTTATTCACACCATGACATGGTTCAGTAAAAAGTCACCACTGAATGAATCTGTTTGCCGTCTGGCACACAGTAGGTGCTCTGTAAATGGGGACATTTCTTAGCCTTCTCTGATTCCCCCCACAGACCTACACACAGCCCCAGGCAACCACTTACCTGCCCTTCCTGATTCCCTGACCCACTAGGCTCCCCCCACTCTGCCGAGTGGGACAGGTGACAGGCCATCTTATGGAACTGATGACAGAACCCAGAACCCCCTTCGGATGACACTGTCCTCCAGAGCAGCCCCCAGGCACCTGTTGGATCTTGGGGCAAGATGGTGGCGGAGGTGCCTGAAATTCTAGAATTCTGTGCCTCTGACATCTGACTTGAGGTTTTATAATTCACGATTCTATTAAAGTTTTGAAGATTCAGTGATGATAGAAGATTCCGGGTTTCCATGACGGGTCCTAAGTCACTGATACTCTCATGGGTGACTCTTTGCCACTGGAGAAATTCCCATCAGAACCTCCCATCATCTGGGAGTGACTTCACTCTGCCCCAGGTCCCCAGCCAACCCCAAAATGTGCCTTGTGGATGTGGCTTTTGGTGGCATAGACCCTGTAAATTCATGCGGTGCATGGAACAGCACATTCTCGCCTTGTTGGCACGCTTGGACTTAGCATCAATATTAAATGACGACGGCTCTTTGGGGACTGTGTCTTATGCATAGAGGTGCTGCCTTCTGGGGAGGTGCTCTGACACGGGCCACTCTCCCTGCGCCCCATTCCAACCGGATTTGGCTGCAGCAAACCCAGAAGAGAGGGGAGGGTCCCTCTTTCATGCCCAAGGGACTAAGAAGGGCTCTGTGTCTGCAGAAACTTCAGGCTGAGGCGGAGAGAAGGCAGGAGGGAGAACATGGCCCAGGGGGTCCGAGGGAGAGAACCCTCCTGCTTGCTGTCAGTACCCCTGCTTTAAAGAGGGGGACCCTGCTCTCCCGGAGCACAGGTACAGCTGGCAGGTAGCGGTCAGGGGCTGCTAGCCCCGCTCCAGGAAGACACTGGGCTCATGCAAAGCTTGTGGGAGTGGCTGGGGAAGCCACTGGGAACCCCAAGCTGTCAAAGGGGCCCTCTGCTCACTGATGTCAGTCACGTCTTCTTACAAACCACGTGTGCTTTGTGTCACCCCGTCCTTTATGTCACACCGGCACATCATTTGCACTAAATCACCTCGTCATGTTAATTAAACATGATCTGATTATAGGGGAGGCATGTCGGGACCACGGAGCTGGCTCACAGGAACGCAGGAGGAAAACCTGTCCTCGCTCGGCTCCACGACCCGATCAGCTTCCTGGGAGGAAGCATCTTCTCGCCTTCTGTGCTTTGGAGCTTGAACGGATACGGCCCAGGGTTCACGGATCTGCACCCCATTAACAACTGATGGAAGGTTTGAATTCATTGGCCACAGACAGGGGCAAAGTCCACCAGGGCCAAGGGTCCTGTGGCCAGGCTGAGGTGAGATCGCACAATGGAGAAAGTTCTAGAAAGGAAGCATCCACTCCACAGACATCTACCGTCCATGGCTTTCACGGGGTCTGCCTGGGCCGGGGTTCTAGCCCCAGCCTTCACGCGGGCAGCCCTCCGTTTATCCGTTCTGCCCTCTCCCTGGCCATTTAGGGAGGTCTTTTAAGAGGCCAGCCTCACCAGAAGCCTGTCACGGTTCCGAGTTCCTAAAAGTGCCTTAGCCTGGCATTCGAGCCCTTCAGGATGAGACCTGGCCTCTCTCTGCCTCTTGTGTCCTTCCAATTCCGTCCTTGGCTCGGGAAGCCCAGAGGCCTCATCCGGGCTTCCAGAGTTGAGTTCTCTCTCAGGCGGGCAGCCCTTTCCCATCGCGTGCTGTGCCCCTGGATCCACTCTCCATGGCCACAGTGGGGCCGACTCCCTGACCCAGAGAGCCTTCTTGGCTAATGCCAAAGCACGTTCCTTGGTCACTTCTCTGGGGCAGCTGGGTTGGCTGCTGACCTCTGCTGGCCTCACTCCATGCCTGGGCGTCCCAGGGTTGCTGGCCGATGGAGCTGACCTTGGCTGGGGTGACCGAGCCCCCTGGCCCTGGTCCATGTCTCTCACCCTCTAGACGGTGGTGGCCAGTGTTCCTGCCAGAGCCGGCCTGATCTGCGCTCCGTGGTGTCCCATCTAGGAACAGCCCACAGCCCAAGCCAGCCCTGGGAGGCCCTGAGGCTAGGGGCAGGACCAGGTTGTAGAGCTCCGTGGACAGTGGGGGAGGCCCCAGGGCCAACGGTGCCCTGTACCTGGTGCAGGGTGCACACGTGGTTCAGACCTCCCAGAACGCTGCGAGCTTAACGTCGGAAAGGCCTTGGCAGCCGACCATGGACACACAGTCAGCTGTAAACTGCTGAACACACCAACTCGATGAGTTTTATTTATATAAACACCATCACATCACAGTCTGGGTCATGCCTATCACCCCAGGTATTCCCCTGCCTCTGGGCCATCTGTGCCTCCTTCCCTCGGGCAGCAATCAGTCTTCCCATTGGTCTCAATTAGTTTTCATTTTCCAGAATTTCATCTAATGGACTCGCACAGTGTGGCCCCGGATGCGTCTGGCTCTTGGGCTCGGCCTTCTTAACTGGGCCCCCCTCGCTGCCGTCCACACCCCGCCTCGTTCCCGTTATTGTGGAGGAGTGAGTGACCGTGTGGTCATCGTGGATTCATTCACCTGTCGATGGGGATTCAGAGTGTTTCCAGTTTATTTTCAATAAAGCTGCTGTCAACACTGTGTGTGTCTCTGCAGCTCTTCCCGTTGGGAAAAACCTCACAGAGAACCACCACGTCCGACGGTCACTGCCCAGGGGTTCCCGGGCTCCGGGTGCTCCTGCTACCCTGGTGGAAGGGGAGGACACTGGAGGCTGCTGGTCCCCAAAACTCGGCACAGCAGCTGTTTCTTCCCCCTGGTGTGGGGGTGAAGTGGGACCTCGCTGTGGCTTTGCCTTGTGTCGCCCTCACATCTAGTGGCACTGGGCATCTCTTCCCGTGCGTCCCGGCCACTCCTGTCCCTCTGGGGGAAGGGTCTGTTCACAGGTCTTCCCCACCCACGGGCAGTTCTCTGCTTCGGCATGATGGACGTTTGAGGGCTCTTTACTCTAGACCTTGATCCCATGTGTCTGGTAAACACTTCTCCCGGCCTGCGGCCCGTCCTGGGTGGGACTTTGACACACTAATCCCCTTGCCCTCCGCGAGCAAGGACAGTGTGGGTAGGACGCACCTGGGTCTGACCCCTCCCCTCCGTAAAAATAATCACCCAAACCCAGCAAGGTGACCGCCCAGGAGCCCCACCACGTGCGGCTGTCTGTCTCTGGTGATGCTGATTTTATTGGGATTTATTTTAAATTGTGGTCACAGCGGGGTCAGGAGTGGCAGGTGGCGGGGTCAGGAGTGGCAGGTGGCGGGGTCAGGAGTGGCAGGTGGCGGGGTGGTCAGGTCCAGAGAAACACACCCTAGCGCTGGGCAGCGTCCTTTTCCTGGTCCAAGATCGCCCTCTGATGGCCCCAGCTCCTCTGGCCACCGCCTTGCTGCCCTAAGGCCCCTGGAGGAGTGGACAGAGAGGTGTGGAAAAGAGCTCTGTCCCCGGGTTGATGCACCCAGTGTCCATCCACGGCGACGCATCTTGGGGAGATGGGTGGAAAGGGCACTGCTGCGGGGGGCACTCCGGCTGCTCCCAAGGCCCAGGGGGAGGCGCCTGGGCACACGCAGACCCCACGCCCAGGCCCTCCAGCCTCGGGTTCCTGAGGGGCCCGGCCTGGGGAGGCTGCCAGCCTCTTCCATTTCCTCCAGGACCCCAGAGAGGAGGCCATTACCTGGTCACCTGCCATGACATCTCAGGAGGTTGGGGCGCCACTAACGAAGGGTCACGGCACAAGAGAGAGGACAGACGTCCCTGACCCAGCTCCAGAGACCTCCCCAGCTGACCGCTCCCTTCCGCCCTCACCTGCTGTGGGTGCCCACCGACAGAGGACCCTGCTCCCTCCCCTAGTCCCAGAGTCCCCTCACGCCTCCCCAGACCCGAGAGACCCACCGACCTCCTGCAGCTGAGCGCTAGGGCCGAGTCCTGGCTCTGCTTGTGACCGGGGCCCAGCAACCCATGTCTGCCGCCAGGAGGAGGACTGCACCCTGCCCTTGACGACGCCATTCTAAGAGCAGGGGGCAGCTCTGGAATGCGGAGGTCAGCAGCGCCACCCTAAAGTCCGCGTCCAAACCCAACTGCATCACTGAATCCCTGGGGACCTTGGACAGGTTCCTTACTCGTTCTGTGCCTTGGTTTCCCCATTTGTAAAGGGGGGTAGGAGTTTATGCTGCATAGAGTCACGGACAGGGTTAAATGACTTAAGACCTCCAAGGGGTTCAGACGGGCCCCTGCCATGTAGTATATGCTCAGTTAATGTCAACGAACACTCCACACCATCGCCACTGGCCAGACACTCAGCTCTGACGCCAAGCCGAGCCTCGTCTCTCTGTCTGTGGATTGAGTGGGTGGCTGCCCCTCCAGCCTAGGAAGCCTGGGAGGTGCAGGGAGGAGGGATCTGGACTTCTGACACCAGGACTCCCTGCAACGCTGCAGAGGCCCAGGCTGAAGGGTCGTGGGTGGAGACCTGAGGCCAGGAGGGAGACAGCAGGGCAGGCAGAGGTCCCCACGGCTGGGACTGTGCTCCTCAGAGGTTCAGATGGACACAAACTCCATACAGCTCTGAACTGGTCGGAGACGGAGTAAATAAAGCTAACTCCTCCACTCGCTCTGGCTGGGTCTACGCCACACGGTTAATCGAGCATCCGCTCTGTGTGGGGCTCGGGACAAATACTGGGGATACAATGGCTGAACAGAAGCAGCTTCTGCCTTCGGGAAACTCATAGCCTGGGAGGAAGAGAGACAGCTAACAATTAAGGACAGATGTTATTACTTCATGGTGGGGGCTGGTGTCCTTTCTCGTCAGGGACAGGAGAGGAGGTAGGTTTTTAGTGAAGATGAAAAAGACAAGTGCTGTCTAGGTCAAGTGTGGGGGAGGCAGGGAGAAGGAACACCAGGCCAAACACCAGCATGTGCCAAGGCCCAGGGGTAAGAGGGACCACAGCATGGAGACCCAAGGGGCCAGGCCCAGGACTAAGTCAGAAAAGAAGCCATGGTCAGATCCCATCAGGCCTTGGAAACCCCGTGGGATGCCTGGTCTTCATCCCAAGACTGGGAGTGCTCCGTGAGAGGAGGTGACAAAGAGCCAGATGACCCTGCTGGGGAGGGTGGGGGACAGGTCTTCTGTGAAGCCATGGAGGTGGGCCCAATCTCGCTGGAAATGCCATCATGGTAGACCTGCCACCCAGGACTGGAGGACCCGCCCTGCCATCTCCACCCAGGCGGGGTTTCCAGACCTGCTGTGAGACTCGGGCCTCCTGACAGCTCCAGCCACGGATCTCGATCCCAATCTTCAGACGCGGCTACTGGAAAGCAAAGCAGCAGCCCGAAGCCGGAAGCCCCAGCACGGCTAGGGTCTGGCCCTCCTGCCCACCCTGGCCTGTCACGGCAAGTCTGAGAGTCAGCATCTGCAGGGGGAGGCTCCGGGGCCATCCCGTGTGGCAGAGGGACAGGGCAGGCACGCACTGGGCCACTTGGCACAGGTGCTGACGCTCAGCTCCCTGGCTGCTCACCCAGAGTCCGGGTTTTCAAGTCCACCGCTTCCCAAACTGGACCCCCCCCCACCCCGAGCTCAGTCCTGGTGGTGGTGATGGGTGTTTCAGGAGCAGAGGTTTATTTATGGGGACCAAGTGCCAGCAGGTGGAGGAGCCCTGAGGTCAGAATCCCTCCAACATTCACCAAGAGAGCTCCCAGGTGGGGGGGGGGGGAGCCTGCTCCCAGGATCCTTCCAGAAAGGAAAGTGGAATCAAAATAAGAACAACACAATTTTACGGTAAAAGGCCTTCTGAGAAAGCCCGGTTGGCAACTGTGTACTGACGGGCTGCGACGACTACTTCTCATGTCACCCTGAGCCTGTTACAATGACATCCAGGCGTCCATGGCCTTGGCCCCTCAAGGCTGGGGAAATGCTTATCTGTGGGTCCCTCCAGAGCCCAGGGGGCTTCATTTGACTGCCTCCCCCAAAGTCCACACCCCCATGAGGGCCTGAGCGCTGCCTGCCCCCGCCCCCCAGGTCAGGTGCCTGAGACGTGGCATCCGGAGAGGGACTCTGGGAGGAGGACTCCATGACGGAACCCGAGGACATTGCCCCCTGCTGGCCCCAGGCGGCATGGCTGCAGGGGCTTTAGACCCAGCAGGAGCAGAGCAAGATGAAGCCCTGACCACAGCAAAGGCCCCCTCAGATCCGCCGGTCACAGGAGCAATTGAGCCAGGAGGCGTGAAGCCCCACTTTGAGGACAGAGCCCGAGGGAGGTGGGACAGCAGGGAGGAGCTGACAGACTGCATGCCACCGCCATCATTATCGTCATCATCAGATTAACAGCTGGGACTGCACCAGCCCACTGTGCCCAGCCCCCTCCCAGAGCTCCTGGAAAAGCAGCGAGCCCAGGGCCCAGCACACAGTAGGTGTCCACGCGGGCCGCACCAACTGGTCCTGGAGCAGCCAGTGGTGTCTAATTTTTGCTCTTGGCCAACACAAATCTCCTCTAGTTCCTGCAGTTCGCCGCCAGCTCTCGGCAAACTTCTAAGAGTACCATTAACAGAGAGTGGATGAGGCCACCGCACGACAAGACAGGAGTGTCACTCACAAAGGGCCACCTGCTGCAAGCATGAGGCTGCCGCTTCATACCACGGAGGCCACTTGGCACTTTATGCCCGGAGCCCAGCATAAAGCAGGCGTCTCTGAAAAGCCTTCGCGCCTGCCCCTGTCCTTCTCAGGCACCTCCCGGGCCCCAGCGGTGACAACTGCTCTGTTTCTGAGGTCCAGCTGATTTAATGGGGACTTTAAATAACTCCCTCTGCTGCGGAGGAAATGGGGTCCTGCTGAGACACAGGCACTGTGAACTGCCACTCAAGGGAGGTTCAAGGCCTGGCAGCTGTGGGACAATGATCATCTGGTGCCCTCTCCTTCCCCCAGAGGCCATTTTCTAGTGGCTCAGCAGGTGTCATCACGGAGTGCCAAGCTGTATGCAGGCTCTGGGTGCAGGAAGAAGGATGGTCATCTTCCTGTGCTCCAGGAGGTCACGGTCAGATGGGGGAGGCTGACCCACCAGCGATGCCCACCACCCACCTGCAAAGTCCAGACTAGAGCTCTCAGCCATGGCCGCCATCTCATGAGCACCTGCTGTATGCGACTCCACCACTGAGTGCCTGCTGTGTGCAGCTTGGGTCCAGGAGACCAACAGGTATACTCATTGCCCCTCACCATGACCCTCTCTGCCACGAGGTCAGCATGATCCTTCCTATTTTAGAGGTGAGGACAGTGAGATTCAGAGAAGCTGGGGACATGGCCAGGATCACACAGCCAGGGCAGGTCTAGTCCACATGAGCTTCATTGTCAACAGCGTCAGGACAGGCCCTCCACCTCTAGATGGGGTCAGGTCTGCTGGGGGACTGAAGGCAGGCTGGGCCATCAGAACCAGGTGGGCAGAGTCCTGGGGACCCTCTGTGCTGCAGGAGCACGGTCTCCCTGGCTGTGTGGGGGCGCTTCAAGGTCACCACATTTGCCCAGCTGAGTGTGGTCATCCTGGTCCAGCTGCCGAGGAAGAGGCAGGGATGAGATTCACCTTGTGCATTAAGTTAGTTTTACCTGCTCAGACCCCGCCCCCTTCCTCTCACTTCCTTTAGAAACCGTGGCCCCGCCCCTCCTTTGCACTCTAAGGGCTTTGGCCAGGACACAGCCCAGCCCCCAATACTGGCTCTAGTGTGTGACTAGGACCTGGCCAATCAGTGACTCCCACTCTCCTGGACTTAAGTGATTGGCTCAGGAATGAGCACATGATCCAGGCTAGTCCAATCAGAGTTTGCCTTTGAACTTTTGCTGCATCGTGAGGCCCCGCCCCTGCCCTCCCTTCCTTCCCAGTTGCTGAACTAGGAGGAGGCCAGACCAGCGGTCGGGGTCGTTGCGGGAGAAGCCTGTTTAAAAACGAAGCTGAGACAGATAAATGCATCTCTGAAAGGTGGAGTGAAATAGAGACAGAGAGAGAGAGAGAGAAAGAGCCAGGTGGCCCCGAAGGCCTGCCCGAGGCTCCCTGCACCACTAGGTGCCCCCGCTAGAGCCCTGCACGGAGCAGGCTGGCAGCCAGCGCCCCAGGTGTGCCAGCCTCGTGAGCGAGTGTGCTTCTTTTTCTGTTTGGGTCAGCTGCGACGCCTTTCTGACATCTACAATCCAGTGAGTCCGATTCTACCCTGTAGCCACCACCAGGAAACAGCGCCAGCTGGATGATAGATGCTAAGTAAATATGTGTGCAGTGTGCAAAATATAAATAAATAAAAAATAAATAAAGGAACTGCTGGGCTGCTTCTGCTGCCCTCAGCATCCCATCTTCCCAGCATGCACGCACGCGCACACACACACAGACACACACACTCACACGTGTGCACTGCAGATGCTTAATTGCGACCGTTACTCCAGGACTCATTCTGGATGGACAGCCACCTGGTTCCCCCACTGTGGCAGCAGTGTCTCACTGGGTCTTGGAGGAGGACGGCTGGGCTCAGGAAGGTGGCTGGCATTTCCATGTGAGCACAGCATCCCCAGGAGATATTGGAAATGGGCTTGGAGCTGCATGGCTGGGGACCGGGGATGGGACCTGCTCTATCGGCTGCAGCCTGCTGGAGTACACAGGCGTCCTTGCCTGTCTGCTCGGAGGAGACCGCAGTCTTACAAGTGGCTCTGATGAGGCCATTAGACCACATTGCATCTGCCAATCAGCCCCACCAGGCACCCAATCCTACACAGTGTGTCATTAGCCCCAGAGCCAAGGCCGTGAGATCTCCTGCACAAATCCCCGTGTTAGCAGCAGGCTGCAAAGGTGAGAAACCCCACTGTGTCACTGTGTCCACCACTGGGAAAGGCAACGTTTCTCTTCCTGTTCTGCCCCGGATGACCACTTCCCATAGCGAGACCACAGAAGACGAGCAGCCGTCACACCGTGAGAAAGTACACTTGGGCTCAGCTGCGGAGGGGCGACTTCTGGGAGCCAGATGCCTGTGCAGGTGGGAGACGCATCCGTCCTCTGCAAGATCGTCTTTCCAGACAGAGGCTGCAGGCTGAGCTGGCAATTCCTGTCTGCTGTATCCCCTCAGGCTGGCATTCAGTGATGTCAATTCATTGCACACCCTGAGGTTGGCGCCAGGGGTTTGGGGATGCTGGAGGGCCTCCCTAAATAGCCCCAGGCACCTCTCTGGTCTGACCCTAGAACAAGCTCTGTGGCTGAGACACATCCCTGACTGGGGACTCTGAGACCTGCAGAGTCACAATATTCATTTACTATTGAACACATTTGTTGAGCACCTACTATGTGACAGCTGCTACATTAGGGGACTCAGTGGTAAGCGAAACGGACATGGTTCCAGCCCCAGAGAGCTCCAGAGATGAATGTGGAAGTCCACCACGAGCAGTAGAAAATTCCCAGTGCTCTAAAGAGTCAAGGTCAGGAGAAAGGGTGGAATGGGGGATTCCAAGGCAAACCAGGAGGGTGACCTGGAAGATATGACCCTCTAGTTGGGAGCTAAAGAAAGACGCAGAGTTCTCTATCAGGTGAGTTCGGGTGGAGGGAGAGTGTTCACATCAGATGTGCAAAGGCCCAGGGGCACAGAGACCCCCAAGGCCTGTATGATTGGAGGGCAAGGAGTGGGCGGTAGCCTGAGGGGGGACAGTAGCAAGACTCTGCACAGCCTGAAAGGCCACTTTAAGGTTTGGGGTCTTCTCCCCATAGCAGGGAGTAGTGAAGGGCACGGGGCAGTAGCCAAGGTGATGGGACCAGGTCTGTTTTCACACTGAGCCTCCGGCTGGGCGCAGTGGTGCAGGCCTGTAATCCCCGCTGAGGCCCGAGGAGCTGAGTTCAAGGCCAGCCTCAGAAACTGGGCACGAAAGGGCTGGGGAGGTGGCTCCGTGGTCAACACACACACACACACACACACACACACACACACACACTGACCCCAGGCGTGGCGTGAGGCTGGGAGTGTTTGCTTCAGCTTGGAGGGAGGGCCACTCCCCGGGCAGGAGAGGAGGGGACAACCAGGGCCACATCCACAGCTGCGTGACGTCCTTCATTCATTTGACCCGTGTTTACTGAACACAGCTCTGTGCTGGAGCCCCGCGAATGACAACGAGGCACCGTCCTCGGGGACCCTACAGGGAAGGGCAGCGTCCCCTGATATTTCTGGAGGTCGCCTCCCGTGAGCAGCATGTGGGCGGCCGTGGTAACTGGCGCTTACCCACGGGAGGAGAAGACGAGCGGGGGGTCTGGATATAAGCAAGAGAACCCCATCACTCAAGCCAGTCAAGGGGCTGGGTGAAAGGCCACAGGACAGAGCAGGTCCCGAGGGATCAAGAGTCCTCAGGCCTGTGTCACTCTCCTGTGAAGCCCCTCAAGGTGGGTTCCCACGCCCACTCACTTCCCATCCTAGGTCAACTTTTCTGGAGCAGGAACCTGAGTGGTCTCAGCTTGGGTGACTGTGGAACAGAGGGCCGCCCCCAGCAGCCTGCAAGACTGACACTCTTTCTACTCTGCAGTGAGTGAACACAAATTCAGAGAAGTGAAGACACTTTCCCAAGGTCACACAGCCCAGCAGCCATGCAGAAGCGTAAAGGGTCCAGGCTGATGATGACATGAAGGGGCACCATCCCAAACGTCAGGGGCACCATACTCCCAGCCCTTTATTTTGGTGAAAACACAAGCTCCATCTGAGGATCCAGTAGCCTTGGAGCAACATCAATGGCTAGCTTATGGGGTACCAGGCACAGGCTCTGCGCCCCTCCACCCGTTAACTTCTCCACCTTCCCAGCAATCCCCTGGCTGGTCCTCGTCACGCATCACCAGGACGATGACATGCAATGAGCCTTGGAGAAGCCACGCTGCTAGGAGCAGGGAGTACTAGGGCGTGTTCAAAATCAACCCACCAGAAGGTGGTTGTCATCAGAGTCAGTTAGCTCTCCTTATGAGGCTCAGAGTGGTGCAGTGACTTGCTCAGCATCACACAGCTACCAAAGGGCAAAGGTGAGATTTGAGCTCAGGTCTGTACCCTTCCCTGTGACTCTGCTGTGCACAAAGCACAGAGAAACCTAGTGCCCAGAGAACCTAGGAACTGCAGGACCCTGGAGTGGAGGGGGGCCTCTGACAGCAGAGGAGAAGTGTCTTCCTCCCCTAGAGAGACAGGGGTTGCCTGGGCAGGTAGCAGAGCCCAGGCCCCAGCTTGGTTCCAGAAGGTAGATCTGAATAAGAGTCATTCAGCCATTCCATAAACACAACCTTGGGAGAAAGTCATGGCCATGCTCTGCCCTGGCACTGTCTTCCCCTGGCCGTGCCCACCCATCCTTCGACACTTGGCATAGATGTCTCCTCCAGGAAGACCTCCGGGGTTGACCATGCCCCATACACACTGTGTGATTTTACTGGGGCCTGAATGCCCCTGGGTTGTCACTGCTGGCATATGGCACTATCCAGCCCAGCCTCCTGGGAAGAACAAGGCCATCCCCTCCCGGGGTCTTCCAGACAGATGGAAGCTTCCAGAGGGCAGGGCTATGGAGACTCTGCTCTGCTGTCTCCTCGCGGCCTAGAACACTG